TAAAAGCGGCCGGACAAAGGCTTTATAGGCTTTTTCTTTCACGCTTCAGTTGTCGATCTTCAAATTGCGCAGTAGGATCCCCAGGGTCTTGTTTTCCCCGGTTTCACAGATTGTAAATGTGGTCGTCCCAGCGGATCTCTTTTTGAATGGTAACACCTAGGTACATAACTGAGGAAACTAGCTCAAGAGTGTAGCCATGCAATTCGTAAGAGTGGTTTAGAAGGGATCTGCTTCTAGAGACTGACAGCACTTAACGGGATGAAATTCCATGTCCCAGCTCATCTCCCACTCAGCTAACCGATTGAGGTCCTGTTGTAGCTGGTCCTTGTCAGAACTATTGGCGATCGTCCTATACACCGCAGTGTCGTCTGCAAACAGTCTCGCCTCAGAGGTGAGCTTCTCAGGTAGATCATTGATATATGCTAGGAACAAACAGGGGCCTAGCACCGAACCCTGGCGGACCCCTAACTTAATACCAGCAAAGGAGAAGGTTGTGCCATCTACCACTACCGCCTGTATTCGGGCGACGAGGAAGTTGGAGATCCATGTGTTGGTAATGCCTTGGATCCCATATCTCTGCAGTTTGTGTAATAGCAAACTATGATTGACACGGTCAAACGCCTTTGAGAAGTCCAGCACAAGCACATCAGTTTGATTGCTGCTCTACAATTTTGGTCGTCAATTCTTCAGTAAATTCAAGGAGTTGGGTCTCAAATGATCTATTGACTCGGAAGCCATGTTGACAGTCATTGTGTATATTGTGGCTTTCAAGATTATTCATGACCGCGCTTACGATTATGTGCTCCATTAGTTTACATACTACGCTAGTGAGGGATACAGGGTGGTAGTTGGCAGGGTCGTAATGCTCCCTTTTTTTTGTAGATTGTACCTTCACATTGCAATTCTAAATTTATCCATTTTGTTGGCTTCGGTTCAGTGACCTTCTTATAATGGTCAAATCGTCAAAAAGCTATAATTAGATTTACTCGAAGTCAAATGACGTCTGCTGCTGAGACTTATTACTTCGAACATTTTCTTCTCATAAAAGGGGAGACAAATTCCTTTTTAAAAACATTTCTTTAGATACTTCCCCCGTGTTATTCCCCTTACTATGCAAATTATTTTCTTAAATTTTGATGAACATTAGCGACGTTTATTAGCTCGCATAATGCATGTCCATTTAAAGGAAATGCTCTTTAGTCGGAGTGTCAGACAAGGAATCGATTTCTTCTGATCCCAAAGAGTTGTGTCGATAAAACGATTATAATCCCGTAACTAAACGAGATTACCTTCTTGAAACTTTCAACTCAAGCAACGTGTCCTCTTTTTACTTGTTTTAAACAAAAAACAACTCCTCCCATACCAAGGTCAGAGTCGTGCAACCATCGTAGTGAGAGTCGCATTACCATCGAGGCACAGTCGTATTACCATCTTAGTCAGTGTCGCATAACAAGCGTAGTCAGAGTCAGAGTCGTACACCCGGTAGAGTGGCTGAGGTTTGAGACAAAAAGTTAACGATATCACAACGTGACCTTCTCGTGAATCCACATCTACATCCATCGCGTGACTCGGGGTCCGTTAAGTTGCTGACGACTGCTGCGCCTCGAAATGGACTCACGAAGTCAAGCGCAACTAATGACGTCAATAATAGAAAATAAAAACATTAAGGGTTCTCAAGAACTGGGCTTCACTTTCTTCCTCCTACTCCTTGTTGCCAGAGATCTGGCAGCGCTTCTTGCAGACACAACTGAGCAACATTTGGCTTGAGTGAGGAAGCAACTGAGACCCTCAGTATAGCTTTGAAGATGCTCATCAGTAAGTTTGGCTCTGAACTTTGACTTGTAAAAGTGGAAAAGTTCATTGTGGAAAAGAGCTTTTCACACAGATGGGTACTCCCCAAAAATGCACATGATCCGTTAGAACAACCTGGAAATCTCAGGGAAAAAAAGGGGAGGGGCGCATTGATGTCATAAATTTTCCAAGCTTGTGGGTTTTTCCATTTACCTCCCTGAACTTGGCCTTAAGTTCAGAATCACACTAAATATCAATCAACTCCATTTGAAGCGCAAAAAAAAAAAAAGAAAAAAAAAGGGGGTGGCGCAACTTCCACGTTGAATGGGAAACGGTCAGCAAATATTTGACACGTGGCTTTGTGTGTTTTGAAGTCTGAAAACCTGTGATCAGTTTCTTCCCGTAGCTTTCCAATAGCAACTGTATACTTACTACTGAATGATGTGCCCAAGTCCGTGAGTACTTTTGCATGTTGAGCCATTTGGGATCACTTAGTACAGGTAAAACCACCCCACCCTTCTCCACGAAAGCTTTGATTTCTGCTCTCAATTCAAAAACACCTTTTCAAGCCGTTTCCCCTACTAAACCAACGTTCCTCAGTCAAGTAGATAACATCGTCATATGCTGACTCCATGTCATCTGAAAAGGTGTGGGGCTGCCGATGTTTCAAGCCCCTGGATCTGATATAGTTGATGCATTTCACAACGTCTGACATCGCAATGTCAAACTTCAGGTACATGACCCCAAAGGGCCTTCTGATGAATAATGCAGTTGAGAGCAACGTTGTCTTCCACACTCACTTCTTCCAGTTTTCTTTGAACATGTGCCACGAGTCCATTTAGTCTCTCCGTCATTGATGGCGCTCCGTCTGTTGTTATTCTTGCAAAACGAGTAGTCTGATTTTAAAACGGGTTTTTACCATTATGATCAACGTCCAAACCTATACAAACATACTATAAATCAGAATTAGACTGGTCGATGAGATTCGACTGAAACCGTCACGGAGGGTCACATCAACATGAGAATAAGGAAGACGCGCGAGCCGCATTAGGTATCTGGCCGTAAAATATCATCTGACAACCCTAAAATGGCCCGCGGACCACGAGTTTGAGACCCCTGATTTAGAGTCATCAAGTTATTAAAAATCAAGCGCCACCCAGTCATGGAACATCTATAGCCACCCAGTCATGGAACATCTATAGCCACCCAGTCATGGAACATCTATAGCCACCCAGTCATGGAACATCTATAGCCATAAGTCTTGAAACATCTATAGCCACCAGTCATGGAACATCTATAGCCACACAGTCATGGAACATCTATAGCCACCCAGTCATGGAATATCTATAGCCACTCAGTCATGGACTATCTATAGCCACCCAGTCATGGAACATCTATAGCCACCCAGTCATGGAACATCTATAGCCACCAGTCATGGAACATCTATAGCCACCAGTCATGGAATATCTATAGCCACTCAGTCATGGAATATCTATAGCCACCCAGTCATGGAACATCTATAGCCAACAGTCATGGAACATCTATAACCACCCAGTCATGCAACATCTCATCTATAGCCACCAGTCATGGAACATCTATAGCCACCAGTCATGGAATATCTATAGCCACTCAGTCATGGACTATCTATAGCCACCCAGTCATGGAACATCTATAGCCACCAGTCATGGAATATCTATAGCCACCCAGTCATGGAACATCTATAGCCACCCAGTCATGGAACATCTATAGCCACCAGTCATGGAATATCTATAGCCACCCAGTCATGGAACATCTATAGCCACCAGTCATGGAATATCTATAGCCACCAGTCATGAAAATCTGTAGCCATAAGTCTTGAAACATCTATAGCCACCAGTCATGAAACATCTATAGCCACCAGTCATGGAACATCTATAGCCACACAGCCATGGAACATCTATAGCCACCCAGTCATGGAATATCTATAGCCACTCAGTCATGGACTATCTATAGCCACCCAGTCATGAAATCTCTATAGCCACCAGTCATGGAACATTTATAGCCACCCTGTCATGGAACATCTATAGCCACCAAGTCATGGAATATATATAGCCACCCAGTGATGGAATATCTATAGCCACCAGTCATGGAACATTTATAGCCACCCTGTCATGGAACATCTATAGCCACCCAGTCATGGAATATATATAGCCACCCAGTGATGGAATATCTATAGCCATCCAGTCATGAAACATCTATAACCTTTAAATCAGTCATGTAACATTTAACTTTGACTATATAAAATGTCTTTTCGTGGCCATTCACAGTGGATTGAGCAGATCAAAATCGAAATTCAAAAGGCATATCCATATAAAAATCACAAGGGAGTGCTTGTTAATTTCAGTTGATACTTTTCCTGATTGAAAACAAAAATGAACCAATAAATCTCGGAAAAAAACTGGCAGGCGGCCAAAGTTCACTGAGATATTAAATCCCTCAACGCATAACAAGCTCGACACATTGCAACATTTCATTGTTGTGTCATGGTCTTGTATCTGGGTTTTGCATAAATCTCGAAGCCCGTGGAAAAAGCCTTACAAAACACATCTAATTTAAACGCTCTTTCTCTGGCATTTCAATATTATTTTTTTAAAAATGTTTTATCAATCAGATGTTCTCAAAATGACCTTTAGACAGAACCACACATGTCCATGATACAAAAAAATTAAAAAAAAAAAAAAAATGAAAATTATTGACATTCAATTATAAATTGAATTTTGAATGCAAAGAAAACCTTAGGAATTGGAAAAATAAACTTGTGATATATTACAAATTGGAACATTTTAATGCAGATATGTTTTTAAATATAAAAAAAAATGTATATCCTATCTTAAAAGCTAGTGTTTTCTCTATTCCTATAATTCCTTTGTCTCACAGATCTTGAAATGCCATCTCGCTAACTCCTGGGGGTGCGATCCAACCGGCCTCCCCCCCCCTGCAATTTGGGACAAACATTGACTTTAAAGCTAAAATTAATTGGACACTCACCCATGTCAGAAACAATTGAAACGTATTGAAATTATTTAGCTCTATCGTCAGCCAAAAGGCCAAAAGGCAAATTCAACCAGATTACAAATTTAAAAATAAAATAAAACAAACACAAAAATGGTTAGCGATATTTCAGAATATTTAAATTTATTTATAATATTTATTTTAACCCTTATAATTATCCCAACATATCTGGAATACATGTGCACTGTAGGAATGAGGGTACAGCATTTTACCTATTCAGTATTTTGTAGATTAGCGTCTTAGGGTGGAAAGGAAACAGATGTCACATCATGATGTCATGAGCTGCTGGGCAAGCTAACCACTCCAACATCGTGTTTAACCACACCAAGATAGTGTTTGACCACACCAACATCGTGTTTGACCACACCAACATCGTGTATGACCACATCAACATAGTTTTTGACCATACCAACATAGTGTTTGACACAAGCTGTAAGCTATGTTCAACACACTATCGTTCCTCAATGGTAGACAAGGGGCGACTAAAATTGTTGGACATCATAACACGGGACGTTACTGAATCCCAGCTTATTTGTGAACAGCTGTACGGAAGGCAATATTCATGAACTGCAGCGTGTATGGGGAATATTCATGATTTGTACCATGTACGGGGAACTTTCATGAGCTGTACCATACACTGGAAATATTCATGAACTGTATCATGTAAGGAATGTTCCATGTATAGAGTATATACAAAAAGTAATGTACCATGTATGAAGAATATCAAAGCAGGACTGAAACCTATATAGATTATATCCAAGAAGGACTGTACAATGTATGGAGAATATCCAAGAAGGGCTGTACCATGTATAGAGTATATCCTAAAAGGAACTTTACCATGCCCTGGGAATATTCCTGAACTGCAAAATGTGCTGGAACTATTCATGAACTGTACCATGTACTGGAAATATTCATGAACTGTACCATGTGCTGAAAATATTCATGAGCTGTACCATGTGCGGGAAATATTCATGAACTGTACAAATTGCTGAAAATATTCATGAACTGTATCATGTAAGGGGAGTGTCCAAGAAAGACCGTGGAGGTAGTACACTACACGGTGAATATTTTACAATTCCTAGAAATTCCTTTTCCCTGTAAGAGGACATTGCATTCTGGACGTACCCTGTATCGGGATAATCCAAACAGGACCGTAGCATGTTTGATGAATATCCTATTATGACTCTCCGTTCATGGGGAATATCCTGTAAGGAATGTTCCATGTATAGAGTATATCCAAGAAGGAATGTACCGTGTATGGAGTATATCCAAGAAGGACTTACCATGCATAGAGTATATCCAAAAAGTGACTGTTCCACGTATGGAGAATATCCAAGAAGGACCGTACCATGTATGGAGAATATCCAAGAAGTACCGTACCATGTATGGAGAATATCCAAGAAGGACTTACCATGTATGGAGAATATCCAAGAAGGACCGTACCATGTATGGAGAATATCCAAGAAGGACTTACCATGTATGGAGAATATCCAAGAAGGACTGTACCATGTATGGAGAATATCCAAGAAGGACTGTACCATGTATGGAGAATATCCAAGAAGGACTGTACCATGTATGGAGAATATCCAAGAAGGACTGTACCATGCATGGAGAATATCCAAGAAGGACTGTACCATGTATGGAGAATATCCAAGAAGGACTGTACAATGTATGGAGAATATCCAAGAAGGACTGTACCATGTATGGAGAATATCCAAGAAGGACTGTACCATGTATGGAGAATATCCAAGAAGGACTTACCATGTATGGAGAATATCCAAGAAGGACTGTACCATGTATGGAGAATATCCAAGAAGGACTGTACCATGTATGGAGAATATCCAAGAAAAATAGCACGATTGTGTAAACACTCTCTAAGACACAAGAGCGTCATATCAAATGGTTTACGCCTTGACGCTAACGGGTGGGGATCGGATGTGATGACGTGAGAGAGAAAAAGAAAGAAGAAAATGTGAGCAGCAGACGACATCAAGTTGTGTACAAGATGCCACGCTCCTAGTCGCACGCACACGCCTAATTGTGTCGACAGAGCTGTGCCCGGACTGGAGTCTCCAGCATGGTATGAAGCAGAGAACCAGTCAGACATTCTGGCTTCTTTTGCGATGAATTTTGGCTGCCATGGGTTAAGGAAAGATAATAAAAACAACTTTTGTTGCGTTCAGTCAAACCGAATCAGTTTCTTTTCTCATATATTCAAATATTATTAAAAAAATATTTGCATTGTTAAAAATTTGTTTCCTAGTGTTTACAATATCTGGTACAGATACGCTACTACACTGATTTGTCGATAAAGCTGTAATGTGTGTTAAAGCTGTTATGAATATGACGAAAATTGTGCTAGTAAACTGAGAGATAGTGATATTTAAAAAACAAAATTGCAATATAAGGGCATCGATTAGACATAGCCATGTTTTATCATTCAACATTAACATTACATTTGCTTGGATCTTCAGCGGATCCCAAGTGTTTAAAATCATACGTGTTTTAATCAAAAGTGTTTAAATGAGAAGTGTTTAAATCACACATGTTTACATACCATGTTTTTAAATCACAAGTATTTAAATCACAAGTGTTGTATGCATCATAGAAAGATCAAAAGTGTTACCATAAATGTCTTGTACCCATAATATATGTAAAGTTACTGTACGTAACAAATTAACGCATACTAAACAATATCAATTGTTTAAATGAAATAATTAAAGTAATGAAGTTGTTGACAGTTTAAAGACCCCCCTCGTCTGCAGGTAGCTGAACAAGCTGCCACAGGACCAACCCATGGCCACAGGACCAACTCATGGCCACAGGACCAACTCATGGCCACCTAACGGAAGCTGGAGTTGGAGACGGTCCTGCCCAGGCGACGGCGCTTAGGGGCTGATCCGTTGCTTGGCGTCTCGCGCATGCTTGACGTCGGTGAGAACACTCGTGTTTCGATCGATTGGACCGAATGATAATGGTCTATCATGGGCTTAACTTTCACCCAAATCTAGAACAGATAAAGGTTAAGAAGAGAAATGAAATCAATTTGAATGGTGAAATAAATTAATAACATTTAGTTTGTCCAAGAGGTCGTACCGTAATTAAAAAAAATATTGGACCAATACAGCAATAAATACTCAGGATAAGAGAAAAACTTGAAAAAACCTGAATAAAAAAAAACTTGAAAAACATATAAGACAAGCTTTTAAAGTTGTGTCTAATGTAATGTGAATCATCACAGTTAACGCCCATATGAAACTTTACGGTTTTATTATTCGCTATTCGTATTGTCTTGTTCGCCGAAGAAGGCTTTTTGTCGATACGTTGGGTGATTAGTAAAGGCTTTTGCACAGTTTATTTCAATCCCGTGTTTCTAGTTTTATTTTTTAAGAGACCCTCCCCATATTATTTGCAATTTAATCAAATCTTTTTGGAAAAAAAAACCCAAACAAAACAAAAAAAAACCCCGTTAACTCTGTCATGTTACTTACCTTCTCTTCTTGGAGCAGTTTGGTAACAGCGTCGATGTCAGGGGCCATAAAGCGGTCTTTTAACCAGGGCCTAAGCAAAAGATATGACACTTAATGTGCGTGCTATGTGCTTATAGAAAACTGATATCATCCAAATAAATTACTCATTGATTGCCAAGTATTAACAAAGATAAATGGTTTTGTTTTTGTTTTTCTTAAAGCGACTGGACCTACAGATGTGAAGGTCTGCTCGCCACAGTCTCATTTTCTACCGAACCAAGAACATTCACATGAACTACGTCTTTTATACTTGCTACAATGGCTGTAGCCATTATGCCGACACATACGATTATTAATACACTTTCCAACCACAGACATCGATTGTGCAGGCCACTCACACGCACTCAAGACCACAACTGTGTCAGTACATTGAGGATTTGACTGCTTAGGTGAACCTACTTGGCGACCTCGCGGACAGCCTTGTACACCTCTTCCAGTGGGGCCGTTGTCTTCAGAGGTCTCAGGAACTCCATTGCCTGGCAAGCGGCCAGAAGCTCAATTCCAAGAACTGGCATTACAGTAAATCAGTGTTAAGTCATAAAATGTATGCCCAATAGCATGAACCATATTGTATCAGAAATTATGATTATAGACATTTTGTTGGGAATATCTGCTATTGAAAAGAAATTCTCTTTTCGAAAGTATTCCTTAATATTAAATATTTCAATTAAATCTCGTCCTTGGGGATCCAATTATATATACTTTAAATTTAACACTGGAAAGCTAATAATTTTTTATTTGAAAATAAACTACATCTACATATTTATCCAACTCTCTCTCTCTCTCTCTCTCTCTCTCTCTCTCTCTCTCTCTCTCTCTCTCTATTTGTATATATATATATATATATATGTATATACAGGTTGGCCCAAAAATTTCATAGCGTCGTTTTATAGTTAGAAGCATAAACGAGGCGTCAACGCTTACAAAAAGTCGTTGGGTGGGGGGGGAGGGTGGAGGAGGGTGAACAGCTTGAACATATGTTTCTGATTAGCGTAATAATTTTCATACAACTGTCAATGACGAAACATTATGTTAATGCAATTATATAACCCTTTGTATTAACCCTAACCCTGACCAATTGTTACGAGATGTTCTCACCGTACATGGGACAAATTTGTATATATTTCCTGGAAAGTTTTATAAACATCAATAAGAAAATATAACCCCATAAAAATAAAAGATTAACTGCCTTTTTTGTGAAGGGTGAGCTATGTGAAATATCAGTCTAAAGACTCATTTGTTTAATGAACGAATTTGTAATAATCAAACTGTACAATAACATTTTTATTTCCGCTGATGAGGTGCCCCATGGGAGGTCAGCCTCTACACACGAGCTGTGCTCTAGCACTCAGACAGAATTCCTACGGCTAGACCTTTGCTCTAAAACTCAGACTACCTTTCTACGGATAGATTTTTGCTCTACAAGTCGGATAGACTTCTTCCCTATAGTTAGATTTATGATCTGCCACACAGACAAGCTCCCTATGACTAAATCTTTCTATGCACCACTTAGAAACACGGCTTAAGGCTAGATCTATCTATGCTCCATCATTCAGACGTACATCCTATGGCTATATCTTTCTATGTTCCACCCCTCAGACAGACTTCCTATGGCTAGACCTAGGCTCCATCACTTACACAGACCTAATGTCGTTAGACCTATGCTTCACCACTAAGATAAACTTCTTATGGCTAGACCTATGCTTCATCACTTAGACAGACCTCATATCGTCAGACCTATTCTCAACAACCCAGAGTAATCAGCACTCACCCTGCTCCACATGCTCCACCACTCTAAGAGACTTCCTGGCTGCAAATCCTCCCATAGACACGTGATCTTCTGTGCCTCCACTGGTGGTCAACGAGTCGACTGAGGCTGGGTGGCACAGCACTTTATTCTCAGACACTAGATGAAGGAAACAATCGGCCATCACATTTTAATTCTGGTCCATTTCTAAATAACGTGACCATTTGCTTTATAATTCGCTGATAATTCTTTCAAACAGTTGTCAGGAAGGGGCGTCACTCTAAGGTTACAAAAAGTTTTCTGCTAATGATAAGTTGTTTTCTTTGTTTTTGTTTTACTTGCCAGAGTTTTTAAACTCCATGTATTGCCAATCCTAACTGGCATGTAGTAATGCAGCCTTGAATTAGTTTTGCACCGATCTTAACTTCTGTGGCTACTCTTAACTTCTGTAGCTAACCTTAACTTCTGTAGCTAACCTTAAATTATGTAACTAATCTTAACTTCTGTAGCTAACCTTAACTTCTGTAGTTAACCAAAACTTCTGTAGCTAACCTTAACCTCTGTAGCTAACGCTAACTTCTGTAGTCAACATTAAGCCAACTAACACACATATTCTGTTGAGGTTTTGAGATTCTCTTACAACCCCGGCTAGAACTAGTACATTGGCAAGCAGCTCCACCTGTTGAGCTGTGCCATATAACATTGTCTTCACGTAGGGCGCTCCCGCCGCCCTGGCCTCCCTTGAAACATCTCGTGAGAGTTGCCTTGGCATCTCTCACCGGGACGAGGAAAAATGAGTAGAGTCCAGACATTATTCAACGATATGGCTAGTGCAATATTAAGTCAACAAATGTGTTCTATTCATATCTCTCCTGTTTGAAAAGTTCACCCTTCTTAAAGATTTCACCCCCGATACAAAATGAGGCTCTTGTCGTCAGTGGTAACACATATCGCATGTCCTTACGTCACTTACCCAACGCTGCTGCAGTGCAGTGAGCTATCATGAAGCCAGAGTTAAGGCCACCTTCATTGGTCAGGAAGGCCGGTAACTCACTCAGAGCTATACGAAACAAGATGGGATAATTATTGTTTTACATGCGATTTTATGATTTAAAAAGTTAATAATATATTTAATTTGCGAAAGAACTGATATGTGGAATGATTGAATGATATAGTTAATACTGGTGTTACATTGCGTATAGGCGGACTCAAAGCAACTATTGAACAGGGTAAAATTTCTCCAGTCTTTGCACATTTCAAGATGAACACAAAGGTGCATTAGATGTATCCATCACTGCACTGATTTCCTGCACTAACACACCAGAGAGAGTTAAAATGAAACAAGTTTATTCAGCTTTTCGGCACCATTTCACCATATGGTATTAATCAAATATTCTCTAAGTAATTTTTCCTAATTTTCCTGAATTTCTTCTTTTCTCTTACCCCTAAATATTTTGGTCCGTTAATATTCTGGACCTTATTTATCACAATACTAATATTTATACTCTTTCACTTTCTGAAAGCCTACTTCCGGCAACAACATAGGTGATCTAAAAAGATTTTTTTTTTTTACTGCGCACTGTTTCTCGTCGTATTTTCATTTGTCCTGTGTGCTGAAGAAGGGTCTGTGTCGAAACGTTCACATCCTATTGTCCTGTCTTTTGATTCAAGCTTCAACACACCTTGTTCTACTAGGTCACTCAAATCAACTACTATGTGCTTCATTCTAGTCTTACACAGTGGCGTAATTCATTGGGTTTCTAGTGAGCCAACCTACCCGGATTGACCAATCTTTCGATCCTTCTCTCACTCATGCTGGCCAGTTCGTGAATTCCAATAGCTAAGTAGTCCAAGGCCTGTAAAAGTCATTTGGAGGGGGACATATTGATAACTTTGGACTCTTATTCATTATTGATGATTTCTTTGGAATAACATAATCATTAGTCTTATACTTTCAACGCCAAATGATTTGTAAGTAAATAATTTCAGGAACAGGAGCGACAGAAAGAGGACGGATTGAATTAGAGGATTCTTAGTTCACTAATTTGTTAATTTTTAATGGAAGTACTGTGGTGTCTCAGATGAGCCCAGTAACCAGTGGTGGCATCCCAAACTTCCATGAACCTGTACTATAAAGACATGTCATGTGAACTAAATGGGAGTTCCATATTAAATTCATTTTTTCCCCTAATAATCCAGCAACCTGTTTACTAAGCTTGTATAAATTTAAGAACTGGTAGTATGCCTCTACTGCGGGTAACATAAACAAACTATGACCTTGCCAGTATATTATACTAACCTTTGCCGGATAGTGTACTGACCATGGCTGGATAGTGTACTAACCTTGGCCGGATATTCTCCATGAAAATTCCCAGCAGACACAATCTCTCCATTCTCAGCAAAGACCATCTTGTTTGAGTTAAGCTGATTATACAGAAACTTACTCTACTGGATAATCAGATCATGAATTGCTAAGTGCCAGGAGTGTTATAGTCCAGGAATGTTATGTTATAGACCAGGAATGTTACAGACGAGGAATCTTATAGACCAGGAATCTTATAGACCAGGAATATTATAAGCAAGGAATGTTATAGGCCATGAATATTATAGGCCATGAATGTTATAGGCAAGGAATATTATAGGCCATGAATGTTATAGGCCAGGAATATTATAGGCCATGAATGTTATAGACCAGGAATATTATAGGCCATGAATGTTATAGACCAGGAATATTATAGGCCATGAATGTTATAGGCCAGGAATATTATAGGCCATGAATGTTATAGGCCAGGAATATTATAGGCCATGAATGTTATAGACCAGGAATATTATAGGCCATGAATGTTATAGGCCAGGAATATTATAGGCCATGAATGTTATAGGCCAGGAATATTATAGGCCATGAATGTTATAGACCAGGAATATTATAGGCCATGAATGTTATAGGCCAGGAATATTATAGGCCATGAATGTTATAGGCCAGGAATATTATAGGCCATGAATGTTATAGGCCAGGAATATTATAGGCCATGAATGTTTTAGGCCAGGAATATTATAGGCCATGAATGTTATAGGCCAGGAATATTATAGGTCATGAATGTTATAGGCCAGGAATATTATAGGCCATGAATGTTATAGGCCAGGAATATTATAGGCCATGAATGTTATAGGCCAGGAATATTATAGGCCATGAATGTTATAGGCCATGAATGTTATAGGCCATGAATGTTATAGGCCATGAATGTTATAGGCCATTAATGTTATAGGTCATGAATGTTATAGGCCATGAATGTTATAGGCCAGGAATATTATAGGTCATGAATGTTATAGGCCATGAATGTTATAGGCCAGGAATATTATAGACCATGAATGTTTTAGGCCAGGAATATTATAGGCCATGAATGTTATAGGCCAGGAATATTATAGGCCATGAATGTTATAGGCCATGAATGTTATAGGCCATGAATGTTATAGGCCATGAATGTTATAGGTCATGAATGTTATAGGCCATGAATGTTATAGGCCAGGAATATTATAGGCCATGAATGTTATAGGCCATGAATGTTATAGGCCAGGAATATTATAGGCCATGAATGTTATAGGCCATGAATGTTATAGGCCATGAATGTTATAGGCCATGAATGTTATAGGCCATGAATGTTATAGGCCATGAATGTTATAGGCCAGGAATATTATAGGCCATGAATGTTGTAAACCAGGAATTTCATAGACAATGAAAGCTATTGGTCAGGAATGAAGTAGGTCACGCATGTTATTGACGGATCCCCTTACAGACCGGATATACCACACTTAGAGTGGACAAGGATACCGGGTTGTCGGTGGCACTGTTGATCTCTGTCGTCAGGACATTCCTCACAAACTGCAAAGTGTCGTTGACAATGCCGTGCACCTGTACAAGGAAAACAATATTTGAATCATTTGAAGAACCCCCCTTATGGGCCGATCATACATGACGGAAGCACTTAGTGGGGGATTGTTGATAAAGGAACTTATGTGTGCATGTGAGTGTATGTGGAGGTGTCTCGGAAAATGTATATTTATGTAATAATTATCAGGAAACTCTAACATTCCATTATATAAATTATTATGCTATATATTATGGTTAGACCATGTAAGGAGAATGGAGCAAGGCCGTATTCCAAAGAAACTCCTGTATGGAGAGTTGGCAGAAGGGACAAGACTTACTGGACGGCCACGCCTGAGATTTATGGACGTAGTCAAAAGAGCACGAAAGAAGCCAAAATTGAAATCAAAGAATGGGAGATAATTGCTTAACAACGTTAAAGCTGGTGAACAGCAGTGTATGAAGGAGCCAAAAAAGGCAGAATATGCGTTAAATGAAGCCCTTACAACACAAATAACAATACGGAAGGCCAAATATACCCTGGAGTCAATATTCTCATGCGAGAAATGCAACAGAGACCGCAAGTCCATGATTGGCCCAGTGAGCCAGTCGTCAAAGTGTACATAGCTACACCAGCAAGTCCATGATTGGCCCAGTGAGCCATTCGTCAAAGTGTACATAGCTACCCCAACGTCTCGCGGAAACGGGAGGCTGCCATATAAAACTAAAACACATTTAAATCATATCAAATTATTGTAGAAGGCTTAAAGCAGGGGTCTCAAACACAAATCATATGGGGGTCGCAGGAGGAAGAGTCTAAGTGAGACTGGGCCGCATCAAGTATTACCCCCACCCCATAAAAAAGCGATGCGATTACAAATTCAATAAAGTACAACTGTTACAATCTGCTCATCCTTTATTATCGCAAATAAAAGCATAAAGGGTTCTGAAGAACTTGGCTTCACTTTCTTTCTCCTACTTCTTGTTGCAAGAGACCTTGCAGCAATTCTTCTATAACAGCTGAGCAACATTTGGCTTGAGTGAGGAAGCAACTGAGACCCTCAGTATAGCTTAAAGATGCTCATCAGTAAGTTTGGCCATGAACTTTGACTTGTTAAAGTCCATTGTGGAAAAGAGGTTTTCACACAGATAGGTTCTCCCAAAGAAGGCACTTATCCGCTTGAACAACCTGGAAATCTCAGGGAAGGTGGAGGGCAATGCTGTCATAAATTGACCATGCTTTTCTGTTTTTTCATTCACCTCCCTGATTTATATTGGACTGAAGATCAATCAGATCCATTTGAAGCACACGGATGGGGGGCATCTTCCACATTAAAAGTGAAAGGGTCAGTACAAATTATGTATCTTTGCAATTGCATCAGTATACTTATTAATGAATGATGTGCCCGAGTCCATGAGTACTTTGCATGGTTGGAAATGGCAGAGGTATCATAGCACAAATTGTGGGCAGAATTCCCAGACATTGTCATAGGCCACACTGACAAGCCACCCCTGGTCTTATAACTTTTTTTTGAGTGCATTCCTGTGTAATGTTAACAAGAAAAAGTCCATGAGCCTTTTGGGATCACTTAGTACAGGAACAACCCTTCGCATCTTTCTCCAAGAAGGCTTGAAATGTTAAAACGTGTTAAATCAGTAGGCAGGAGCAGGCAATATTTATGAATTATTGATGCTATTGCGGGGAGAATGAATTTTGATTTTTTATTGTAGAAAAGGCATTTTTTTGACTAACCCTAATTTGAAAGTGACCAAGCTGAAAGGCTCGGAATTTCACTCACACGTAAACACCAGCGGTAAATTTAATATGGCTTCTTTGATACTGTGTCCGATCGCTGTGATTTACACAGTTATGGTTGTGCATTACCCACTAAATGACTTTTTAAAATGTTCTCAAATCCGCACTTTGGCCATGTTTGTCTCATAAAATGCTATAAAATAAAATCTTTTAGTCCGATTTTAAAACGATTTTTTTGCATTATAATCAACGTCAAAATCTATACAAACATAACAAAATTAGAATTAGATTAGTCTGTGAGATTCGAATGAAGCCGTCTTGGGGGGGGGGAGGGGTCACATTATAGATATGAGAATGGGGAAAACGCGCGGGCCGCATTAACACTAAATTTTGCTGTCATGTAGCGGGCCGCAAAATATCGTCTTGTGGGCCGCAAATGGCCCACGGGCCACGAGTTTGAGACCCTTGGCTTACAGAGAAAAAAAAGTCACGGCAATGTTTCGTACGTGACGTCACATTGCTGGTTTGTGTTTTCACAAAAAAACTGGCCAGAAATCGCAATGGTATCAAATAGCATAATGACAACCGTAGTCCACTTGAATGTGACCGTGTGCGTGAGTGTGACGTCGTTTGTTGCTTTGTTTCTCAAACAGACGGTGACATAATTTTTTGACACGGTTAACGTCGACATCGAGTGACTGTTTTGTACGCGGTGGCGTATGAAGTGGGCTACGGAGGCACTGACCCTAGCTACGTCACTGCATGTACGTCTTATTGATCTGTATTGAAACAAGTGGCTTGGGTTGAAAAGTCTAAATTTTACGTTCACATGGGAGTGGGGTGGGGGTTCTAAAAATAATTACCGATGCAAAATAGGACGAGGTATAAGAAAATGTGAGGAATATTTTGTTTTTTTTCCCTATATAATTTATGGATTGTTCCTTATTTATTTTAAAAGTATTTTTAAAACAAATAATGACATTCGCTTTAACAGTTTCCCTTTTAAAAAAAAAAAGTAAAATGTATGCGTAATTGAAAAGACAGAAACTTATTTGAAATCACATCTTTTCTATTTCCATTTTACGTGAATTTTTTTATGACCAATATTTTTTGTTACATTTTCCTTGCTAATTTGCACTTGATTGTGTGAATATTTTATAAATACGCCCAAGATAAGCGTTCTACTCCTGTTGTCTTGTGTACCAAACTCTCTAACCGCTTTATTAAATGTCACCAAATACAACCAGTGTGACGTGACGAGTGAGCGAGTTTTATCAATGAATATATTGTGCATTAGGCAAATCGTTGTTATCTGCGTAACAGGATCAAATAAACTTTAAATTTATAATAGATATTCACAGAGACAGAAGCAGGTGCATCGGTATTTTCAAGGCAGCTTTTTTGGTTTATATGAATGTTTTTTTTTTTGTTAGTTCTTTTTGTTGTTGTAGTGATGAAGGCATTTTCCGATAAGTTGAAATTTGTATTCTGTATAATTCATTATTAAAACTGAACTTATATTATTTTATTTAAACAAATTTTGCCTCAATCTAGTTGAACGCTTTATCACAGTCCATCACTCTAAGCTTAATGTCACTTAAATAGATTCCATAGCATAAAGAACTATTTCTACTCAGTCTAAAACATGGGTTGTGTCCCTTCACCTGTGGGCAGCAGCGAAGTGTGTAGGCGTCCTGCACTCTGTTACAGAATCTGTGACTCTCTGAGTGGAATGTAACACAAGAATTCAACATTAGTGATTGATACTTTCACTGTCTCAGTGGAAGCTAACGCAAAAATAGTACATTAATGATAGATAACTTCACCTACCAGATGTATACCTCACAAACTATTATATACCAATACTATTTGATACCATTACATAACGTTACGTTTATAATGTTGAAACGTTCACGTTAAAAGTATTTATGTATTCGTACGGTGACAATTTAGGTATTGTAAACCAGTAAAGGTGTACCAGTGCACTCACCCGACACCTCGCTCGGGTAGGTATCAGAATGCAGAAGTGCTCGCAGTCGGCTGGCCACCAGGATTTGACCTTTATGGGGGCGGACTTCGTGTACCTCTGGTGAAATAATTTATCGCTTTTTAAAGGAAACTTGTGTTTTTATGACCGTATGGCAAAGAATAAATATTTAAAATCTCTAGAATTTCAAAGAATATTTGAATGTTCAGTACTTTTAAAAGGATGCAGTTGACTACTGGACTATTTCTAAATTAGATTTTTTTTTTTCCAAAATCTTTTTTGCACTGTTTATTACATACGAACATTATATTTTGTACTTTTCTCTTTAAAATGTAATTTTTAGTCAGACAAATCCGTTATTCTTAGAATTCCAAAATTTGTTCTCCAACACTAGTTCCTTTAAGCCTCTCTCTTTTTTGTTTTTTGAGACTATGACATCACATCTTAAAAATTACACACTCCCAAAGAAGTGTCATTTTGACTAGACTGACATTTTGAGTAGACTGACATTTTGACTAGACTGACATTTTGAATAGACTGACATTTTGACTAGACTGACATTTTGAATAGACTGACATTTGACTAGACTGACATTTTGACTAGACTGACATTTTGACCAGACTGACATTTTGACTAGACTGACATTTTGACTAGACTGACATTTTGACTAGACTGACATTTTGAATAGACTGACATTTTGACTAGACTGACATTTTGAATAGACTGATATTTGACTAGACTGACATTTTGACTAGACTGACATTTTGACTAGACTGACATTTTGACTAGACTGACATTTTGACTAGACTGACATTTTGACTAGCCTGACATTCAACAACTTACTGCTGTCGAAGGCACGCGTGGTGCCCTTCAAGACTTCAAGGGTGAAGGCTGCAACAACGTCTGCTTGTCTAGCTATGGCCTCCGCCCGCTCCAGAGCTGCGACATCACGTGACATAGGTTACCAGAAATGGGGACGAAAGAGACGTGTTGGAACGATCGATTGAACGGAGATTAGTTGGAAACGTCCGTTTCGATATTTATCTTGGCACGAGCTTCCGTCCAACAGTTTTACTTTGGACCAACTTCTTTCATACAATTTCTTTCGTACAACTTCTTTCGTACAACTTCTTTCGTACAACTTCTTTCGTACAAATGTCGGGATACGCATGAAAATACAATTTAAAAGGGACAAATGAATTCGAAAATGTTTGTAAAATAGAATTTGGCAAACAATGTGGGCATTTTGTTTTATTATAACTAGAATGAAACAGCATCACATGTTTCTTTCATTTTAATCGGTGAATATAATTTATATCACTATGCTGTTGATGAATTAAGCATCAGTATAGATCTACAGATGAGTGTTCTATTTCAAACATGTGTTTCAGTGACTTATCTTTTCACAAATGATAAGCCGTTTAAAAATGAGACCTTACGTCATAAACTGAGACCTTACGTCATAAACTGAGACCTTACGTCATAAACTGAGACCTTACGTCATAAACTGAGACCTTACGTCATAAACTGAGACCTTACGTCATAAACTGAGACCTGAGACCTTACGTCATAAACTGAGACCTTACGTCATAAACTGAGACCTTACGTCATAAACTGAGACCTTACGTCATAAACTGAGACCTTACGTCATAAACTGAGACCTTACGTCATAAACTGAGACCAAGTTTCATTTTTTTTCCCCCGCCTTACCTTCACAGCCAAGGGAAGTAATCAGCTGTGTTCCATTGATCAGAGCAAGACCCTGGTGGATACGTGAATTAACGATAGTTTTTAAAGTAACAATTTTGGTTGGGAATTTGAAAGTAAGAGTCACTTAGCGAAACAAGATAAAGACTTAAAATAAACATAGGGAAACATTCTCTTGATCAATTATTCATGTAAACAATTTCCGCATCATGAATTATTTCACATATTGATCAAGCCTTGAATTTAACTTGGAATCCTTCTGAAGATCTGAAATCTGACTTGAATTAAAGAAGTCTGACTAAAAAATCTGTGCATTGAACGATAGTGTTGGCAAACTCATCTTGTAATGTTCCAACGGCACAGTCCCTTGTTTCTAAATCTTCTAAAGTTTATATGTTATTTTTTTAAAATAAACTTTGCATCTTAAAAACACGTCATAAAAATATAAGTACACGAGGTCAGTTGAACTTTTCCCACAGATTTATTACAACAGCTGTTGAATATAGACTTTATATAAGTAAACGTTGTTGTACATCGAATTATTCTTTCAACTATTTTTTTGTGCCGTAGAGATCTTGACTGTCCAAGCGGAACACAACAGAAAAAAAGACAGACACTCCGACAGACTTACCTCTTTGGGTTTGAGCTTGATCGGAGTCAAGTCATGGGATTCTAAGACCTGGGAAAGTTAATTTTATTATAGGATTGGTTGGCTTTTTAAATATCAAAGTAGACAGCACAACTATGATTTAGTGGCATAGAGGACGAAAATAAAAATCAAATTAAGCATTTAAAATGCATATTAATCAATGCAACACCCATACCATCTTATTGTTATGTACAGCACAGTAAATCTTTTTAACGTAAAAAAATTCTTGAGCCCAACATGTGCACGAAAGTTAGTTTGTTTTGGTTTAATAACAGGTTGACTTCTACAGAAATTCATTGGTGTTTTCATTGGTGTTTTCATTTGTGTTATCATTGGTGTTATCATTGGTGTTATCATTTTGTTTTCATGGGTGTTTTCATGGGTGTTTTCATTTTGTTTTCATGGGTGTTTCATGGATGTTTTCATGGGTGTTTTCATGGTTGTTTTCATGGGTGTTTTCATGGGTGTATTCATTTTGTTTTCATGGGTGTTTTCATTAGGTGTTTTCATTGGTGTTTTCATTGGTGTTTCCATGGGTTTTTTCATCGGTGTTTTCATTGGTGTCTTCATTGGTGTTTACATTGGTGTTGTCTTAGGTGTTTTAATTGGTGTTGTCTTAGGTGTTTTCATTGGTGTCGTCTTAGGTGTTTTCATTGGTGTTTTCATTGGTGTTTTCATTGGTGTTTTCATTGGTGTTTTCATTGGTGTTTTCATTGGTGTTTTCATTGGTGTTTTCATTGGTGTTGTCTTAGGCGTTTTCTACCTTTAAATAGATAGTTGTTTTATTCCACCGCTAAAGTAGATGTTCGCAGTGAAGTATAAGGATGAGAAGGATTTTGAAAAATCATTTCAAAGGGCGGGCCATAATTTTTTCGTTTATGACTTTTAGAACTCTGACCCCCGTTTGTATCATTCTAGAGTGAAGGTCAAATGTTAAACTTACAAACTTTGCCTCCGCCCATCCACTTTTGGGACTCCACATTTTCCCCTCCCCCATCATCCCGAGCGCCATATGGGCCAGGGGGGCCAAGTCACCACTGGCTCCGACAGTTCCCTTCTCCGGTATCCATGGCAGGCAAGATGCTGGTTAGTTGAATGTGAACATTGAGATTGGATTTAATTTAATTCAAATATGTTCCATTAAAATGTCCCTAATTTAAGATATTAAAAGTTAGAACTCAACCACAGCCACTGTTATTTTTACCAAAAGATGGGGAAAATCAGATCAGCAATATCAAAATAGGTGTCACGTTCCATTTGCCAGTGTGAGCCACGACATTGCTATCAATAATCTTTTTAAATCAAGTAAACGTATCTAAATTGTGCCTTTTAAACACTGGTTGTTATTTTAAGGCAAAGAATGATATTAAAATTAAAAATATAGTTAAACAGGTGGGGGGGGGGGTGTCATGAAATTCAAATCCTCAACTTTTACAGAATAAAAATGTTTCATCTACAATAGCAAAGATTAAAAAAACAAGCAGATGCTTTAAATGGTTGAATTCCTTAGAGAAAATTATCTCTATAAATTTTGCCCCAACTCTTCTACCAGCTATGTTGCTCCGATTCTTCTACCAGTTATGTTGCCCCCGACTCTTCTACCAGCTATGTTGCCCCGATTCTTCTACCAGCTATGTTGCCCCGATTCTTCTACTAGCTATGTTGCCCCGATTCTTCTACTAGCTATGTTGCCCCGAATCTTCTACCAGCTATGTTGCCCCGATTCTTCTACTCGCTATGTTACCCCGAATCTTCTACTAGCTATGTTGCCCCGAATCTTCTACCAGCTATGTTGCCCCGATTCTTCTACCAGCTATGTTGCCCCGATTCTTCTACTAGCTATGTTGCCCCGAATCTTCTACCAGCTATGTTGCCCCCGAATCTTCTACCAGTTATGTTTCCTCTCAAGCACCCCTCCTACCTGTTTAATTTTTCCGGAGCTTGGGTCAGAGATTGAACTGAAAAATATTTGTCCGGAGCTAAGCTTGACCAAAAAGCCTGCTCCAAATCCCTGGATAGATTCAATGTTAAAACTTCTGCGTCTAGCACTGCAACCGTCAATAAGTCATCTCTTGTGTCAAGGATTAGTGACAAAAATTATGACAGAACAGTCCATAATTTGTTAGGTCATGTTTCTTTTTCTAGTACAAATCTCTATTTTCTCACTACCTACTGCCCACCTGTGTACCCCAATTTGTAACCCCCATTTGTACCCCCCTTTTTACCCTATTTATACCACAATTTGTACCACCATCTGTACTCCCCCCCCCCTTATTTACCATTGAAAGCCGCGATGAGTTTCTTTAGTGTTTCAAGTGAGATTCCACTGTATCCCTTGGCAAGGACGTTGATCCTCAAGGCCAGCAACATCTTGGTTCTCTCAGGGGGAAGAGCTGACCCCACACCTGGTGAAAGAATGCACTTTATCTCTCATCAATCTTTACTCCGGCACATAGAGTATCATGTTTGCACATTTCCCTTTTTTTTTTAACCTAGTCTAATAAAATGCTAATGATGCATCTTTTCTTTTTTTTTTTTTATTCTATTTTAATTAAATGCTTATGATGCCTCTTTTTTTTTTTTTTTTTTAAAGATCTCACTTAAATTTTTTGATAGTCTTAACTAAAGTACTGTTTGTAAAAAAAAAAAAATATTATTTTGTCGTTACAAATACAATATGTTATGGAATATTACCGATCTATAATTAACACTAAGTGTTTTATTAGTATATTATTGTCTTTAGTTTTGTCCTACAAGATTGACAAAACGTTAATGTTTGAAACAATTGATGTGTATCACAAATCCTAACCTGCAGCATGGGATCTGATGAGATTTTCTTGCAGCTCACTTAAAAAAAAAATAATATTTTGAAATATAAGCCATTCTGTCAGCAATTAATTACACCACTAGTTCAAATTTAATTATAATTTCTATTTTACTTGAGCACTCAGTTAAACTGCTTTCCGTCGAGCGACACACACGGTTTTAAACAGTGACTCTGGCATCTCTCTGATGGTTACATTCTAGGAAACAACATTCTTTTATAGAAGAACACTAACTGCAGGAAAATTGTTGCATTAAAGTATCGCAATAAAAACACTGGCCACGCATTGAGTTATTTAAAGACACGTTTTGATACTTATTTTTTTTTGTTGTCTCTAATCTTTTATACCAGTGGGTCCCAAACTTTTTTTACTGGATGAGCCCCTTTTAGACTCACTTTTCATAAGGGAGCCCTTAAGCCTACCCTATGTTTTATAAGTTAATAATGTTTTGGAGTAATGATAGTGGGGGAAGGGACGGGGCGGCTGGAAACTAATGATTTATTTTCCTTAGTCTATTTAAATCACCATCTACACTAATTTATATACATTAGTCTATTTAAATCACTATCTTCACTGATTTATACATTAATCTATTTGAATCACTATGTCCACAGTTAACTCACACCAGCTTATCCTTTTCGATAACTGTCCTTGCAAACTTTCCAAAGCCGGTTGTTATGCCATACACGACTGTGAAGTTGAAACAGGAAATAGAAAAAAGTTAATTGCTATACTCTATAATGAAATACTTCCAAGAACGAAGCGCAAATTTTGTCTTTTTAAATTTGATAGTTAATCTCATGCTGTGAATTTGACATTCGAAGTGAAACTGCGTAATGCATTTTACGAAATTTTAAATTATTTTTATTTTTTACTTTCAGCTGCGTTTCTTCTTCTTATATTTGAGGGGCCCACGATCAATTTGTTGATCATTATGGCTCCTGGTTTTAATTCAGAGTTTGCCTTCTCTTAGATGGGTTGCCGTCCAAGGCTAGCGAGTCCCATCCACCCGGGGTGCTAGGGATGTTGGCTTTAATGGGGATTGAACTCCGGACCACTGGCGCCACTGGTTTGAGACAGTTTAGACCGCTCGGCCACCCAGCTCGGCCACCCAGCTCGGCCACCCAGCTCGGCCACCCAGCTCGGCCACCCAGCTCGGCCACCCAGCTCGGCCACCCAGCTCGGCCACCCAGCGTTTAATTTCGTCTTGGGTAAAACGTCTTACTTTTTTTATATTAATATTTTTTTTGGGGGTATTTTCTTCTTTTGAGTATTAAAATTTTTGCTTTTGAAGTAACAACACAATTAGAATTATTACCATTGGCCCTGCATCTAAAACCTCCATAGACAGGCCTCCCCAAATACCTACAAACCGCCTTTCACTGAATGAAACAGACGCCATGAAACACGATCACCCTAGCGAAACAGTCACATGTGTAAACAAAAAAAAAGTATGCTGTATCAAGTAGATTAAAATGCCTTTAAAAATACAAGTCAGGTCCCAGCAAAACTATAATACGTGATTTGACTATGAAAATTTGTATTTTTCAAACTATGCGGTTTGTTGTGTAATATTCTAGATTTTTAAAAATATCTCCAGGAAGAGGCGTTACTGTATTCCGACACATAAATGCCATATCAGTGATTGCCCTCAAGATTCCCTGGCAAATCACGAAATAATGAAGTTGATATTTGAATAAATCAAATCATAAGAACTTAATAGTGATCAAATCTGGATGTTGCACTGACCTTTGTTGCTGGCCAGAATTTCATCGACCAGAGCACGTGACTTCAACACTTTCTGTTCCGCATCAGCTGTCAGCTAAATGTATTAGCAAAAATTATAATCTAATCATAGTTAGAACAAAATAATCGAGACTTACAACACCATCATATATGAAAGTCTTATCAGTTTTGCAAGTCATTAGATACCGTATGTGTTAGTTATTTCCTTCAGTAGGAAAGTATAACAGGAACAACCAGTCACTGAGCGTGTAAGTTCTTTTCCTAAGTACGATAGTATAATAGGAACAACAACAAAAAATGTTGAAATCTACTGGATCGAATATCTACAGTTAGATATGTTTGAATAATTAAATGGAAATTCTTTGGTAACACATTTATGAAGAGCAGAAAAGGCTAGACAAACATTGTAGAAACAATGTGCTCGGAGTAATGGTAGCATGTCTACTTATGGAAAACTTTTGACATAATCATATCATACTCATGACATACTCGTGGCAAACTCATGGCATTCTCATTTCAGTTATGAAAAATTGGGGATTTGAAAAGAAAACCCACCCTAACAGCCCCCCAACTTCAATAAAAAAACAATAACCCACCAAACAACCAACCCACCAAACAACCAACCCACCAAACAACCAACCTACCAAACAACCAACCCACCAAACAACCAACCCACCAAACAACCAACCCACCAAACAACCAACCCACCAAACAACCAACCCACCAAACAACCAACCCACCAAACAACCAACCCACCAAACAACCAACCACCATAATAAGTTGCTATTTACAATACAAAGTGTGATCCTAGAATTAATATTAATCCCCATTTAAAAAGATGCATGAAAGATTCATCTAAACCAGGCTTGCACACCGTACGGCCCGCGGGCCGCATGTGGCCCGCCAGCACCCACTAGCTTCTAAACATTCAAACTTGTCTCTAAACGCTGACGACTCACAGTTATGTTGTAAAGACCTTTACCAAGACGAATTAAATCATCCGTCGATAGGCTGTCACCGTCCAGTGCCAGCAGCTGAAAGGGTAGAAAAGAAAAGAACAGGTACATTCTATAATATTCAATCAGACAACCCTTTTTAAATCATTATTACTAAGATTCAAGTAGTTCTCAAACCATACTCCGCATGACCTTGGGGAGCCACGGATTCATTAGAAACCCTGCAAAGTATTAATCGGTTTTCATTATTTCTTTCCTATTCCAATACAGTATCAATTGACCTAGTGAAAATCCGTGGCTGACTTTATACGTAACCATTTGCAGGAGCGTTTAGTGGTTTTGAAATGATATGATCATTGATTGTACAGAAAAGGAAAGTATCTTCAGAGGTACGTCTGAATTTACTGCCGCAGAGGAATGCATCTTATTGAGACCAAGCTGTAAAACAAGTGAGCAGCGTTGAATTAACTGAACTTAGGATATCTGTAAAAGATGACTATCCCCAAATATAACCCAGAGAGTTTTTAATTCCATTGGAGACTTATTATTTGTTGGGAAGCTGATTGTTATCTCAGCGGTCGCTGCGATGAAAGCTGTGTACTTTGTCAACGTTAATGGTGGGAAGTAAATAAAGGTTCACTGTGTCCAGTTTGAGGATGACTGTATCCATTTCGAGGATGGCTGTGCCCAGTTTGAGGATGTCTGTGTCCAGTTTGAGGATGACCGTGTACGTTTTTAAGGGGGCAGTGTCTATGAGGGTGACTATGTCCAGTTTGAAGATGATTTGTTTTAATAACTGGAGACTGTGTCCAGTTTGAGGCTGGTTGTGTCCACGAGGGTGACTGTGTCCAGTTTGAACTGGATGTGCCCATGATAGTGACTGTGTCCAGTTTGAGGCTGGATGTGTCCATGATGGTGAGTGTATCTAGTTTGAGGCTGGTTGTGTCCACGAGGGTGGCTGTGTCCAGTTTGAGGCTGGATGTGTCCATGCTGGTGACTGTGTCCAGTTTGAGGCTGGATGTGTCCATGATGGTGACTGTGTCCAGTTTGAGGCTGGTTGTGTCCACGAGGGTGGCTGTGTCCAGTTTGAGGCTGGATGTGTCCATGATGGTGACTGTGTCCAGTTTGAGGCTGGATGTGTCCATGATGGTGACTGTGGCTTGTAGTGTTCCTCAACGAGAACGAGCTCTTCCGTCCCACTAATTACAATGAGTTAAATTTGTTTAAAAATTGGTGTGGTACTAAACACGCGTTAATTAGGTTTCAAAAACATCCTTCAAATACAAACGTAATAATCGCTATTTCACAGTGTACTTGTTACAGCTAGTTTAACCTGGATTCAACAACGGCGCCGATAATCTGTAAAATTTGGGAATCACCAAGTCAAGACAGGTTAACTTACAAGTTATGTAACTGGAATAATGATTAAAAGTTAAACGTAATAAAGTTCCTTCCCTTTATTAACGTTTGTTTAAATTTTGTCCAAAGAAATATTTGACATGGCAAATGAAACACCACTATTTCGCCTAGGTCAAAGGTTATCTTGTTTGTGTCTAGAACCATCACAGACCACGTCTGGTCGTGTCTGATCAGATCTGAGTTCTAGCTGTGTAAATTATATTTGTTGTTGTTCGTCCGTCGAAGTCGACAAGGACCATCGAATCATCCAGTTAGGGGCGGGCAGGGGTGGATTACGGTGAGCTCTTAGGTGGCTTGTTAGACCGATACTTGCTCGGAATAATCTATGACACCGTGGGCATGGAATAGTTGCTTCAGGCGATGACCTAATGTTGCTCTTTCGGACAAGCCTGCGTGTCTCAGCTGTGGTTATTCTCTTAGCTTCATGGGATTTAGCCCCCTTCTTGACAGCAGCTCTCCATCTGGCTCTGTCCTGGGCTGTCTGCACCCATTGAGTAGTGTTTATGCTGAAGGCCTTTAGTGCCACTTTCAGTGAGTCTTTGTAACGCTTTCTTTGGCCTCCTTGGGAGCGCTTGCCTATCGTGAGTTCTCCAAAGAATATTTGTTTCGGGAGCCGGTGGTCTGCCATACGGGCTACGTGTCCCATCCAACGGAGCTGAGACTGCATCAGAGTGGTGAAGATACTAGGTAGGTTCGCTCTAGCGAGGACCTCGGTGTCGGGGACTTTGTCTTGCCACCTGATGTCGAGGAGTTTCCTGAGGCAGGTAGTGTGAAAATGATTCAGTTTCTTGGCGTGACGCTGGTAGACAGTCCACGTTTCACATCCATAAAGCAGTGTCGGGAGGACTGCTGCGCTATAGACCTTGAGCTTTGTTTCTCGACTGATACCTCTCCTATCCCAAACAGTGCTGCGGAGCCTGCCAAATAGGGCACTAGCTTTTGCGAGTCTGCCATTCATTTCATCATCCATGACGACAGATCTAGAGAGGGTGCTGCCCAAGTAAGTAAATTTATCCACCGGGTTGAGACGCTGTCCACTGATGATGATGTTGGGTTCAACGTAGGGCTTACTGGGAGCTGGCTGATACATCACCTCAGTCTTCTTTGTGTTGATTGTGAGGCCAAAGTTATTGCAGGCCTCTGAGAAGATATCAACACTGTGTTGCATGACGGCTTCTGATGGAGCATTAAGGGCACAATCGTCTGCAAACAGAAGCTCGTTGATCGTGGTATGTTTGACCTTGGTTTTAGCTTGAAGCCTCCTAAGGTTAAATACTGATCCATCAGTACGAAACCGGATTGGCAAGCCCATGGTGGAGTCCTTGAACGCATCAGACAGCATTGCGGAATACATAATACTGAAGAGTGTGGGAGCAAGAACACAACCCTGTTTTACACCGTTTGTGACGGGGAATGCTGGAGATGATTGACCGTTGTCCTGTACTCGGGCCATCATACCATCATGCAGCTGACGGATGATGTTTGTGAACTTGTCTGGGCATCCGTATTTCTTCATGATTTTCCACAAGCCAGCTCTATTGACCCTGTCAAAGGCCTTATTCAAGTCGATAAATGTAGTATATAGGTCTGTATTTTGTTCCTGGCATTTCTCTTGAAGCTGTCTAGCAGCAAACACCATATCGATGGTTCCGCGTTTTTTCCGGAAACCGCATTGACTTTCGGGTAGGAGACCTAGCTCCAGATGTGCATTCAGGCGGTTCAGAAGGGCTCGGGCCAAGATCTTGCCTGCAATGGACAGTAGTGAAATTCCGCGGTGATTGTCGCATGTCTGGCGCTAACCTTTGTGTTTGTACAGGTGGATGATTGAGGCATCCTTGAGGTCAAAAATGCTCATCTTAAATTTACTTTATTGGTTTCAAAATTATTCACTTGATGTTTCACTAAATGTCACAGATATATTAACTTTATCCGTTGCTTATATTAATCAAATAAAATGTATATCAAATTAAAGCAATATAATTAATACATTCCTGGTGGTGGTCACGATTGATTGCTCTCAGGGGTGGTCACGATTGACTGAACAAATGGGTGAGCTAAGGCTGTTAAAAGGTTAAAAGGTTAAAAGGTACAAACAACGTACCCTGTCATATCATTATTAATACATGTTACCATTGAATTCATTTACCTCCTTCTCAACGCCGTGATCCACGACCTCACTGGGTCTGTGGAACTCTTGGTTAAGGAAAACTTCACAAAGATTGAAAAAACTCGGTAGGACCAATTCAACCACTGAAGGCGACTTCTGATCTTAAGTGAAACACTTCGAAATTTAATTAGAATTCACTAATATTTTATTTATAAATAAAAAACCTCTTAACTATAATCAGATGCACATATGAAATGCATTTTTACATGAATGACTTGTGATTTGAGTGTTAAAAAAATCTTCTATATGTTGCTTTCACATTACATACAGTATCCCTCACTATTTAATTTGTAATGCCTGGCTTTTGTTTTACATACCCGCCGATGATGTATTTATACACATTTATTAGGTTGTTACTATTTTATAAATAAAAAGAGGTTCCGGCGGAGCATTTAGGTTAGATCAATAAGACCCGCAAAAATGTGTGCAAATAAAATATTATAGGTGAGTTTTTACAAAACAATTTTTGGCGAATTTTCAAGGTAATGGCTTAATTTCTTGATTGTCATTGTCAACATTCCCCATTCTACATGCTCAACAGTTTAAAGTCTTCAAAGGATACACTTTCTCTTCAACATAGACAATCTCAGCAGGCAACGACATCGGACTGGAAATGTCGCTGTCCAGCACTGGGGTCAGCATTGGAGTAACAAAATAGTCATTTATTAAAGCATCGAAAGAACATTCAATGGTACAAGGGTTCTCAAGCTGCGGGAAGATTTGATCACTTCTAATTTAATATAATTTCTAAGTAACTTAAATAATATGGACCGAAAAAAATTAAACGGTACAAAATATATCTACGTCATTTTATTATCTATTAATAAGTGGAGTTATTCCCGAATGTAATCTATTCTTAACAAAGGAATACAAATCATTTGCACGCGTCTTGTTCTAGACAAGCGGTTCTCAACTTTCATAATGCCGCGACCCTTCAATACAGACCCTTCAAGTTGTGGTGACCCCCAACAATAAATTATTTTCGTTGCTATTTCATAAGTATGTGTTTTTCGATGGTCTTAGGCGACCCCTGTGTAAGGGTCTTTCGACCCCCAAAGGGGTCGCGACCCACAGGTTGAGAATCGCTTTTCTAAACGAATCAATGTAAACACCAATTTCCCACACATGCTCCTATTTTTGAAAGCTCGTATACTTGCTCTATCTAAATGTTTTCTACATCATTTAAATAAAATTAAATCTATGATCTACGGAAGCACCATCGTTTCTGAAGGGATGTAACTCAACTGTAAATAGATCGAGTTCTTGTAGTACCCAAATGTTCATGAAAGTAGAAACAAAATAATTGTAACTCCAATTAACTCTGCTTTCTAAAATGTGTATCGGTTTTGTGCTACCTAACACTCTTTAATAGGCACATCAAATAAATAAACTAATCATGAATTGCCGGCCGTGGAGGGAAATCTTCAACAGTGGGTTCAAAACATGTCTAGCGGTGATTTTTGAAAAAAAAATGATTGTGCGTGAACCACATGGTATTTGTTATTCCCTATTTTTTATTCCCTATTTGTTATTCTCTATTTGTTATTCCCTATGTGTTATTCCATATTTGTTATTCACTATTTGTGATACCCTATTTCTAAAACCCTATTTTGTCGTAGACAGTTTGTGATATCCTCTTAGTTAGTGTGACAGGAATCTCCAGTCCATGGGCGAGATTGACGTTGGGTCCCCACGATAAAAGGCAATTTTGTTTGTGGTTTTTAATACTCAAATTTCCAACCCACCTCTACACAGATGATTTATTACAGCAACTATTTAAGAAAAGCAAAAAAGAAAATATTACGCATTAATCGCACTTGTGATATTTTTAAAGACTCTCATTGAGCGCAGTTATAGGGAATTTTTTTTTTTCGTGGAATAGGTGGCATCATTATTTCCTTCATCTTCCTCTTGAAAAACAGAGGGGGGGGGGGGGAAACTGTTTTTTCGGGTTGGGGGGTGGGGTGGGGGGGGGGGGTGAAATGTTGATATAATTTTTTTTGTCATCGGCAACAAGTCTATGCTTCAAGTTTCAGTTCGATGGGATGACGGGCAGTTGTTCAGCTAAATGTCCGAAGACTTTTCCAGCCGGCCGGCCGGTCCCGGCTAACCCACGAACAGCAGTGGAGTTAATCTGAAGGATCGAATGAAACAAACCCTCAAAACAAAGTTGTTCGTATAAATCCCTTATAAACTGTAATATCGAGCAATTGGGGGCGGGGCTAAAAATGGGACATACAAATAACGCGCTTCATAAGAATCACAAATAGTGTGGCCCACCCCCCCTCCCCCACCTTTCCCTAAAAATTATGGTACGCCTACACTTACTCTGAACTTAATCCTTCCTTTCCCTTCGGCTGTCATCAAAGGACGACATTATCTAAAACAACCCTCCCACCCCCACCCCCACACATGATAACAAATCTATAACAAAAATTGTTGGATGGTGGGCTGCTTTATCTTACAACTTTCCCCCCTTAATTCTACAACTTGTAATGTATTGAATATGTCAGAGATGACGTCACTACTCCACACATGTATTGGATATGCCAGAGATGACGTCACTACTCTACACATGTATTTGATTTGTCAGAGATAACGTGATTACTCTACATATGTATTGGATATGTCAGAGATGACGTCACTACTCTACATTACGTCAGCATATCGCAGCCATCAACAGGGATCTTTTGTCACTGGGCCCATAAATGCCGCAGGATTATAGTGATGGACCTACTTTACATTTAGATTAATCCGCGCTACCTACTCCTAAAGTGATGGACCTACTTTACATTTAGATTAATCCGCGCTACCTACTCCTAAAGTGATGGACCTACTTTACATTGAGATTAATCCGCACTACTTACTCCTAAAGTGATGGACATACTTTACATTTAGATTAATCCGCGCTACCTACTCATAAGCATGACAAAATACGATTGCAATTCTCTTTAAGACAAAAATTAATATTTGGGCTCAATTCAGGATGAAAATATTGCGATTGATTTTCAAATAAGAGTATAGGTAATGAGAATATCATAACTCCCCTTGGTGACCTATTTAACCACTTCAAACATTGCGTTTCAGTCCGCGGGAATTGCTGACCTGGAGGAACTTACCCACAGTGATGAAGTCATTATCGTCGATAACATCCTTAATGGCATCGTCGAAGTCTAACAGGGCGCCGCCCTTGGCTTTCCTCACTTCATGCACCTTCTCTGCGGTGCGTCCCGAGCTCCCCCTCTGCTTGTAGTACCTCCTCAGGGTCTCCTCTCCCAGCCATCGGATGGTGTCTGATCCCTTGCAAGGAACTGCGAACCAATCGCCACGTACACGAACGCTCAGCTTCATGTTTAGTTTAGACTTTTATAATATTAAGATTTTTTTTTTAAATTGCTCCACAGAGAAAGTTTTTCTTACTAAATCTCGGACACACACTTCACTAGGAAAAACAAAACTAACACATTAAATGTGCAAGAAAACCAAACATCTATCTAGGACAATCAAGCCTTCAATGAACTCTGAACGTGATCCTCTAATGTCAACACGGTCTCAGTTGATCTCAGTAGCACAGTGTGTTCTTAAAACAAAGAATAGCCAACGTGTTCTTGTATGGAAGACTAAAAATCGTCTGAGTGTTTTAAAAAAAAAAACAACAAATTTTTTTAATGAAATGTAACGGAATACGGACACAGTGATGTGTGCCACCGCTGTTCTGAATGATTCTATTTCGGTGACCTTAAACTTGTGACTTATGAATAATAATTTTTTTTTTTTTAAATGGCTAATCAGAACTCATTTCCGACCAACCAAAAGCTGAGAAGCGGACACACCTGTTTCTGACAATACAGTGGAGGTTTAATCAGTAGCCAGAGTGGACCAGACTGGGCTTAGTGTTATCTGGACATCGTGTTATCTGTATGTTACTTACTCACACATATCTAAGGCTTAAAGGGGATTAAATGGGGCACTCGGTGGTAAATAGGGCTCTGAGGGTAAATTGCGCCCTCGATGGTAAATGGAGCTCTGATGGTAAACTGGCCCCTCGATGGTAAATGGGGCTCTGAGGGTAAATTGGCCCCTTGATGGTAAATGGGGCTCTGAAGGTAAATTGGGCCCTCGATGGTAAAATGGGCCCTCGATGGTAAATTGGGCCAACGATGGCAAATATGGCTCTCGATGGTAAATGGGGCCATCGATGGTAAATTAGGCTCTTCACTGTAAAGTGGTATATCTGTTGGTAAACAGGATTTTCACTGGTAAATAACTTTCTCGATGGTAATAAGTGGTATCGATGGAACCAAAATTAAGACCATCGTTGAACGCTCCTTCTGCTTCCATGGGCCCACGTTCTGGAACCAGCTCCCCTTCCATATCCGTCATTGTGAAACCTCGTCCATTTTCAAAAAGTCCCTTAAAACTCATCTGTTTAGGTCCGCCTATGACCTGTGATGCACCCTCCTTGCCCTGCCTCATTTTCTGTTTCGGGTTGATCCTGAAGTGTCAAAGTGTCAAAGTGTCCTCGTTTTATAGCCATTTTCATTGTTTCTATAGTATAGTAGTTACTATCCTAGTGTCTCATTTTTATTTACTTAGTTTACATGTTTTTAATAATTGTAAAGCGCTTAGAGCTTGTCAAAGTGTCCTCGTTTTATAGCCATTTTCATTGTTTCTATAGTATAGTAGTTACTATCCTAGTGTCTCATTTTTATTTACTTAGTTTACATGTTTTTAATAATTGTAAAGCGCTTAGAGCTTTATAGTAAGCGCTATATAAAAATGCCTAAATAAATTGTGGACTCCTGTCTAGGGCGTTTCATTCATAGTATCCGCAGAGAACCAATCGATTAGCATTGTTTCACTTGATTTAATGCTTTTATTTTGAGTAACAACCCAAGTGAAAGGTTTAAATAAGATGTAGAGTTAACAAATAATTGTATTATTCCAGTTTGGAGGTATGCGGGTTTCAGGGAAAGAAGGATGAAGGAGTCGGAGTAATAATACATTGTTTGACTCCGGTTTTAAATTCAACAATTTTTCACAAAAGTGTATCTAATAAATTAAAATTATTAGTTCATATTTTTTAAAATCAGAATGTGGAGGTGAGATTATGACTTTTTACCATGACTTCGGCGTCGAGACTGGGACCCTCATTTGGGGTTAATTATACGTTGTCATCAGTGCCGTCTTAAGGCATGGGCACACTGGACACTTGCACAGGGCCTCACGGCTCTAGGGGGCCTCACGGCTCTAGGGGTTTCACGGCTCTAGGGGGCCTCACGGACCTAGGGGGCCTCACGGATCTAGGGGCCTCATGGCTCTATGGGGCCTCACGGCTCTAGGTTGCCTCACGGCTCTAGGGGGCCTCACGGCTCTAGGGGGCCTCACGTCTCTAGGGGCCCTCACGGCTCTAGGG